TCAAATATTGCGCGTCGATCAAACCGGTATTCTTGCAACAATTTTTCATCGCTAAGATGGTCCAAAGGGTTCTCCCTATCCCTAAAAATTATTCTTGGCACATAATGATCTTCAGCTGGTTCCATAAATTCAGCCATGTCGTCTTATTTTTGTCCGCGTTACTCTTAAGGTTACCATTTCCAAACCTTAAGTTATACTTAGGGAAATGACCGTTAAGGGGTTTTATGCAACACTTAACGCTTTTTAAGGGATTACTTACAGAGAGAGAGAGAGAGAGAGAAAGGGAGATTATTCCGTCTGCTTACTCTGCATGTGCTCCGGCTCGTAATCACCCCATGCGTTCGTCTCGTGCGGAGTCTCGGCAACCGTAGAAACGGAATGGCAGGGGTTAAACGAATGGCCATCTTTCCTTCAGAAAGGAGGCGAGCCTCGAGCTCAAAACTTTTAAACACAGACTATCGCATTGTCGACAGTCAGATAGGCTGTTAAGCATGGCTTGAGCATGCCGAAGGCTGAAGCATTGCACGCACACAGGGTTCCCAACTCTCACGCATCTAGCGTGACACTCACGCTTTCAGCATCAATCTCACGCTCTCACGCACACGCAAGAAATGTCACGCCAAAATCCATTTTTCTCCCCTCTCAATCTGTTAATTTTCTGTTGATGAATAGACCACAGCGTATTAATGACAGGAGAGGAGTTTAAGGCCCACAGCTGTAACATCTGCCTTTCAACGTCGTTCTCATAGTATTCTCTGATCGTTGATTCGCTGAAAACCTTGCACATACACGTCAGTTGCGTTGCGTGTGAAAAGTTCAGAGAGAGTTCAGAGCATAGGTTCGGAGTCGGGGCCCACTGATGCACGTTTGAAAGTTTGGATGACAATCAAGGTAAGCAGATAATAAAATAGTGTGCCTTGTCACTAGTGATGTAGCCTTGCCTTATCAGTCTGTGTGCCGAGATTCCAGACTTCAACTATAGTTGCAAACGTTGTCTGACGTGCATTATGTGGGCTAGCTAATTGCTCAATAAAAATAGGCTCATGGTACATATTACGTTTTGGCAAATCGGGCAAGTGGCATTTTAAAAGTCCCCAAATTATCAAAGGTTGTCCAGATTGTGTTGAGCCTGCCACACTCAAATGCGAATGCTGAGCGAATTTATTGGCCTAAAGACTGACACCACAGACTGTCACTTGATGGCTCACTGTGATGGGAAGTTCGGATCATTTTACTGACTCGCTTGTTCGATCTCTTGTTCGAGTCATTTCGTTCATTTAAAGGGCTTTAAATCTTATACTTTTAACAGCCGAATTCCCCGAACACATCCACCTACGCAGTCTTTATCATATTCTGAATTAAGAAATCATTATAATGCAGTCAAAAATAATTTACAGGGAACATAAATAATTACTTTACCTTCCGAGTCTTTCGTTCATTTGTCACGTGACAGGCGCAATGAACGGATTGTTCATGAACGGATCGAACCCTGAAATGAAATGAATGAAATATGATGAAATAGCGTGTAGCACGCTGATATGAAGCATTTGTGACATATTCTTGGGGCGGTGCTAAGCGCTACTGGCCAAAAAAATGGCGTGATATAAAGGCTTCAGACATTCGTCACACCGAAGGTGTTCCCATAGCGACGGCTTCCACATCGTTAAGTGAACCTATGAAAGGGAACTATTGAATAATAAACTAAATTGAATAGACAAAGTGAAAATATAATATATTATAGAAAAACATAAAAAAGTTGTCAAAAAACTAAATTACAACAATAATAATCTCTTAGGGTTCTGTGATGGATGCTATTGGTGCGAGATTAAAATAAAATAAAACTGGAAAATTTGCAATAAATTTAGTAAATCACACTGAGCTTTAAAAAAGTGTTTTGAGAAACCAGCTTTGTCTTAAACCTTAAATGATCAATGTTCTATGGCCGAGAAACATCACATGTATTTGACCATAGTGAACATCTTTCCAATGCATCATGGCACATAATTTGGCGAGTAAAGCCTTTGCAAGCCACGGTTAAGTAAAAAGAATAACCTATGTATGGCACATGAACACCTTGCATGACATCAGAGGGCCTGGAGCCCTTTTAAATCATTTAACGCCAAGGGTCAGTGCAGACTGCTGGGTAACATAAGCAGGTGAGGATGAGGAATCCCTACCACAAACCGCATTGCCACAGAGGGTCAGCTTCTATGGCATCACCATTACGCTACTTCAAAGAAGGGATAGGGAGCATTTGGCTCCTGAAGGTGGTTTGGGCTGGGAAAGCAGAAGGACCATCTCCCCAAGAGGACCATCACCATACCCCATCGCAATGGCAGGAAGTTCCATTAGGTCAGCGCTGCATGAGTCACAAAAACCGTAGGAGTTTGCAAAGACACATCAATAGAGTTAAGTTCCCTTTTAAGGAAAACATGGAAATTCTGAGAGAAAGGTATATATGACTTGTTTCTTTGATAGACTCTGGACTCTTTGATGAAGCTATAGTCTCTAATATGACTATATAACTCACATCTACACTCTAAGACAAAAGGGTAAAAAAGCTGTCACTGCGGCACTACTTCTTCAAACCGGTACCATTTAGGTACTAACATGTACACTTAAGGTACTAATATGTACCGTTAAAATCACGATGAAAATTTAAAACCGACAATTCTCATTTTTTTTTATGGAATATAGTATGTATTTATTATAAATGATTATTCTGTACACATAATTATTTGTTTTAAATTCATGTGCCCTCATAATCTTTAATCAAAATAACTTCCCCTCCCTCTTGCAGCAACATTTCTTCTCTTCTCTGATGACGTGTTTACTGATGCGAAGCACAAGGGCGGGACAACCTGTCACTCACATGAGATCACGGCAATAGCAAACCACAACGATCCAATCAATTCCCAGTGGATGATAAAGTTCCGCTCTACATTTTGTCTTGTTCGAAAAGCCATCTCACTCAGATATACATTACAATAGGGATATACAGATATACATTACAACTTCCATTTCATGACGACTTTAAAGTAGCAATATGCACCAGTTAGGAGTAAAAAAAAAAGGTATAAAGGTGTACTTTTGTTTTTCTCTAAAGGGTACCGTCCCAGTGACAGCTTTTGTTCCTTTTTTTTTCTGAGAGTGTACCTCCTCAAATTTTTAGCCAGATAACAACATACTCTTTTGATTGAAGAACTGTAGGATACTCCTTTTCCATTGAAATGGTCCTGAAGCCAATGCTTAACCAAGGAATCTCTCTCAGAAAAGGTCTGTCGTTTATTGTACTTTAGAGACAAGCATTGAAGTAACCTGCCCATAAACAAAAACAAACAAACAAACAAACCTGGCATGTTTCTTCTCAAATCAGTTGTTCTCCATATTTGCACAGTTTTGTGAAGTTTCTACTTTGTGCACACAATATATGGACATATTGCTCACAATGCGCAATACCAGAAATATATAAAAAGCTGTATCTGCTAAACGGTTTCATCGATTAAAATTATTTTGCCATGAGGGTCCTTAGATGATGCATGTGAAGTTTCGAGCAAATCGGACAAACAGTCTATGAGGAGTTCGAAAAAGTAGAGTTTTCAAATAATCTCAAATATTTAACAAATGATTTGACACTTTATGGCCATTCTGGACATATGGATCTATTTGGACTGTGAGAAACGTCTTTGTTAAAAGTTATATTTACATGCGTGATATGCATTTTTAACAGCATTCAGAGAAACAGACAATTTTTATATGTTGGATGTATTCTCATTGTTGCCCTCGTCTGGTCATGCATGCTCCTGTCAAAGAGGCATACTACATCTCAAAGAGCATGATGATGAAAAAGTAGAAGAATAAACAGCACTGTTCCCACTGTGAGGATGTAGATGGGTGAGGGTGAACAGGATGAAGATGACATACTTGAAAGATGAAGATAAGAGAGGTGGATTCAGATGTCTGGAGAACATTCTAGACTGTTATCAACAGGCAACTCTTCTTAAAACTCGAAGGCGGGCAGAAAGAACAAACACTACACTGATCAATCCCTGGCAGCCCAATTAATTCTGACAGAAGGATTAGAGGAGGGTGACTCCCAGGTCACATGATCATTGGTGGGATACACCCGAAAAGTGAGACCCAAACATTTACTTTCCTGTGGTCCTGGGGTCAGGTCAGGCCCTTTGGTCCCACACAACATGGAGCAAGAAGCATGGAGCAAATGCAAGCACAGAATTAACCGACACCTGAAGACAACAATTATATAGAAACTACATACACTACTGTTCAAAAGTCTGGGGTCAGTAAAAAAATTGTTTTGTCAACGAAATTAATACTTTTATTCAGCAAGGACTTGATCAAACTAATTGATCATAAGCGAAATTAGAGATACATTGTTACAAAAGATGTCTATTTCAAATAAATGCTGTTCTTTTTTTACTTTCTATTCTTTAAAGAATCCTGAAAAAAAGTATCAAGGTTTCCACAAAAACATTAAGCAGCAAATCAGTAAATAAGAATAATTTCTGAAGGATCATGTGACACTGAAGAATAAATTACATTTAAGACATTAAAATAGAAACAATATTACCGTTTTTTATGGTATTTTTGATCAAATAAATAGTCTTGGTGAACAAGACTTCTTTCAAAAACATTTAAAAATCTTATCGACCCTAAACTTTTGAACATGTCAGAAACACTAAAAAAGGACATGTTCTTGACTGTTTTCATGAGATTTACCGAAGTATTTTCTTATAGGTCAGTTAGATAGTTGCGATTAAATTTTAAATGAAAATTACAAGATGTCCATTTGATACTGAGTCAACACAGGAGAGCGAAATATCATCCAAGCAAACTTTCCTGCTAAAAACCTGCTTTCGTGAGCAGCCACTGATAATGGTCCCAATGTTGTCAGTGGCCGAGAGCCAGATATCTTGTTGCTTTACAGAGCGAGGAAAGAAACAGTGCACGGCCGGTTACTCAACCATGTGCTACCCAAGTTAATCGGTACAAATTGTTTATTAACAGGTATTAAGTCATAATATGATCCAAAGAGATGAGGGACACATGTGTTACTTTAGATATCTGGGCTAGATATTGTCTATCATTCATGGTTCACACAAATCTTAAAAAGCAAATGTTCAACAGTCATGAAGAAAAAATTATCATGGATCACAGCCTAATCACGGGCCCAACTTAAGGGAACATAAATTCCACCGTACACATAAAAAGTCGTAAGAAAATAATAGAAGTAACATTTTCATCTTCGCCAGTCCCAAATTTGTAGTGTGCTTCATACCATAGATCATACATACTAAAGTCTTTAAGTAAAATTAAGGTCACATGGTCAATGCTGTAGAACAAACAAAGGGTTGTGGTGGGGAGCTCCTGTTATCCACGTTATCCACGTGTGCTCTTTAACAGTTTCTGTAACAAAGAGAAGAAATATAATTACTTAGCGCAGGGGTCGGCACCAGAGGGGGAATCACAGAGGGGGAATCATTGTCACGTGATAAATAGCCTGTTTATTTGTTTTATTTACACATTTTAAAAAGGACCTTTGCACCTGTATGTCAATCTAATTCTGGCAGTAATCCTTCCCCGGTTCTTAGCTATAAGCTGAATGGGAAGCCAAACACTATCAAAGGGTGATGAAACTGCAATATTCAACAAACTTTGGCATCACATCCCTTTGATCAATTTGGGCAGCACTGCACTTTCAGTGGGTAATGCAAGTAAACCAGTGTGCTTTGCATGGTTGATAGCCTAGGGTCTTTGCTTTCTGGAAAATACTTGGAAGTTATTTGTTATCAGTATTTGAGTGTTCATATGCATGTATGTATATCTATGTAAATCAAATATTATATATCATTAATATTAAAAATATAAATAATGTATATATGTATTTTAAGATATATGATGAACTGAAATATATGTAATTGTGTTTATATTTTCAAAAGATTTACTACTAAACTACTAAAAATGCACTTCATGTACAGAGAGTTGCTGACCCCTGATTTAGAGAAACTACTAATAGCCTATATCGCCACCCAGTTTCTAAGTCACGCCCAATTTTTTTCCTCAAATTCCCACTTTCCATGGCAGAGCTCTACATTACACACCTGTTTTCAAAGGCGGCCATGCTGAACCAGTCTCCGCCTGAACTCTGCAAAGCGTGTAATTCCTAACATGTTTAGTTGTGACAGGCCATCATGACTTTGTCTTGATTTGGAACAAGCATAGCATTTTTCATGCCCCTGCTGTTCAAGTGCATCTGTACAAGGAGCACTCTGCACACAATTACATCTTAATCAAATAAGCTGCCTTCCCTCGTGAAAATAAACGCAGCACGATGACTCAAAATTGGCCGGATCTCTGTTCAGTGTTATTGTGACTCATTTGATGTGGTGCCCTGTTCAAATCTATAGCGCTGGAGAAAAAATATCCATCAAAGGGGCGTTTGCAAGATGATGTAGCCGAATTCCGGCTGCAATACGAGCAAGTTCATTTGCTGCCTTAATTCATTTTTTAATTGTCATGAAAGGCCTGAACTTCAAAACAATAGATGAATAAATAAATAAAAATTACAGGAGGTTCAGCTGGGCCTAATCTATAGTAAAACACTATCTAAACTAAATCCAACAGCAATCAACACGTCAACTCTGCCAAAGCATGGACTGCATTCACGATCAAACATGCTTTCATTCCTGAAAATTGAGTAAAAAAAAAAAAGTCTAATCACTTTAGTGTGAACATCTACAGGTCAAAACAATGTGTCAGTGAAAAAAAATCGGAATGGTCCTAAAATTAGACCTGAATTCTTTACGGAAAATATAATTTCTTCTCTTTTTTTGACCTGTAATTGGACCGGTGAGTGAGAGTGTGTTTTTCTGCTATTTTATACTGATTTTGTTTAAAACTAAATTCCATGCACTCCAGCATGGTGTTTAAAGTCATATTTGAATCTATCGTAATCAGCACAGGGGTGCACACAGCTGCCAATTTCTTCTCATTTGTAAGCGTTGATGTGAACTCATCCAGTGTCACTCTAAAAAAACAGTCTGCAATGGTAACTAACAGACTAGACCTGGAGATAAGCTGCCATTCACATAATGTATCTCTTGGCAGTTCACTAATGACCAAATTGATCGCTGTAACACATACTGTTGGGAAGATCGATAGGGCGGCCACGGGTGACATCTGCTAACAATGCAGCCTGATTAAATTAATATGCATTGGAAACCTAAGCCAGCCAATCTTAGGTACCCACTGTTCTTGTTAGAGAACATCACTGCCTCAACACATTGTTGGACCTCAGGCTAAAATAAATCAATTGAAGAATAAAGGAGGGAAGCTGGAAGTACACTTTGTCTGATAGTTCAACGGCCCAGAGACCAGATATAAAAGTCACTTAAAGGCAACTAAATGTTTACATAAGAGATCTACACTCACAGAACAAAGGTTCAAGAACAATGTGTGGATAGTCCTCAATCTAAGTAGCATATTTTGTACATAAGACCATGTTCACTAGATCTTATAAAGATACAGTATATTTACAAAAAAACTATTTTAACATAATTTAACAGTCATGCCTTGCATTCAACAATAAAAAAATGACAAATACTAAAAAAATGCTTTCAAAAATAAATGATATAATAATATTAATAATTCATATCAAAATAAAATAAAATAAAAATGTAGTAATAAAATCTACAATATAAATCTATAATCAAAACAAAATATCTGTCCATATGCTATCAGCTACAAAAAGGTAATGCAGTTTATAGGGCATTAATTAGCTAAATTATTATGGTGGTACTGGATACCTTTGCAACAGCTCTGACGTGGTGAACTTTGATGGTTGCTGATTTCTCCTCAAAGGCCTTCACCTTGGACTCCTCTGCTAGACGATGCAGGACAATCAGGAGGTTGAGCTGGGCCTGTGGACACAAGGGAAAGACCAATTACGAGTAAATGAATTTGTTATTTAGCTGACACTTATGTAAAGTAAATTACAGTACACTAAGGCCCTGTCCCAAATGGCACCCTAAGCACTCGCGGCCTTCCTACGAGTCTGCACTTTCGTGACGCAACGGCGCTTTGACTGTCGAGAAGAAGTCTGCTGCGGAGCTCGCATCAGTGCGGACTCGGCAAAAGTGCACATATCGACCGCAAAGGGAGCGCTCGTGAACACCCTTCTGAAACTTAAAATGACAAATGGGACACCGTATGGTCTCAAGGACTTAACGGACACGCGGATCTGCGGAAAAATGACTAAAGAGCCTGTATTATGCGTGCCAGGCCAATAGTTGGCAATGCGTGAACATGTAATATGCATGCGCATGGTGTAAACGTTTTTCACAAATTCACGTTTTTGTTGTTTACATGGAGAAGGCAAAGGCATCGTTTTCAAAACCTTGCACTTTGAAACCTGTTTTTAGTAGTTTTCAGGCCCCCAAAACGCCATTGTCGTGTACACGAACGGCCAAAAATCATAAAAAGTTTTCCTTTTCAGGGACCACAGCATGTGAATGGAATACCCAGAGAACAATTGTTAATTGGAAATTAATTGTTAATTAAATAATGTTTTAATTTGTCAAGATGTATGAAATAATGCTTCAGAATTGCAAATTATTCCACAAATGGCCGTTATATCTAAAAATAAACACGCAAAAGCAGAAAACATATCAGTTTCCTTTAACCAAAAACGCTACTAAAACTAAGCTAGAGCTAAAAAAAGAACCACAATGCTTGAGTGATGGACAACCATGTAATCATTTCAAGAGGCTCTTAGTGACTTGCCACACAAAAGGCCAAACGCTTGGAGTCAAGAGGACGATTCGATGTTTTGAGCGACTCAAGTGAATATCTTACTGTTGTTCTGCCAGGTGTAGTATGCAGCAGCTTTCCCTATACCTGTGCATGGATCAACAGATAAGTACCACAGTAAAGGAGGATTATGTTACAGGAACTGCTAGGCAGGTCCAACAGGAGAAGGAGGGTGTCCAAGAAAGATAAATCTTCCAGCCCTCCCCAAAGACAAGGGCCCTTGTGCAACCTTGTCGGATTAGACCAGGAAATTGTTTCATTTTCAACACTTCATCTGTCTTAGTGCATCTTGTCACAAGATGCTGAAAGGAGGTCTGCACTTGTGGATTGTTTTCAGATCAGCCTTGAGCTCAAATTGGGTTTACATATTAAAATCAGCACTACTTGCATGTGCTAACATGACAACATTGTATAAAAATTACTCTATATACAATATGATCCAAAGAAATAAACACAAAGAAATATAATTTCACTATGTGTGTGAATATAGTTCAACGTACAGGTGACGTTGAACTAGATTCATTGAGTGAAATTATATTTCTTTGTGTTTATTTCTTTGGATCATATTGTTGTATATAGATTAATTTATATACAATGTTGTCTTCATTGTGTAGCTTGCTTGTTGTATCAATGTACAGGTGTGTCCTTCCCTTGCTAGGTTTATTTGCCATCATTAAAACGTTATTGGTGGTTCTGAATCACATAGAAGCCATGTATATAAATAATTCACTGTATACATAATAAGATCCTATGGCCCTGCTTTTGAGTTTACACCACAATTTGCCATTACAATCTCCCAAATGTCACTGTGTCCAGTCTTCAAATGCTCATATTGTTTAGCATTTAATTTCCTTTGCATGACAACATAATCTCTTCTAAAAAGCCAATACCAATTTTCGTTTTATGACCGATAACCAATAAATGGCTGATATTATCAATTTTAACTACTTTATTTTAAAAAGCACAATAAAACACAATTAAACGTAAAGTATATTTTAATGTGAATTTAGACAACACATGTTGCGATTTGCCTTTAAGTTACAACTGACTGAAGGCAAAAGTCATCTAAATATTAAAACAGGCCATTAAACATACAATGTCATTAATACATATCCAATATCTGCCAATAATATATGTATTCGACTCTCCAACAGACCCTTAGAATTCAACTGACTGTTTTTGCTACTGTATTTTTAAGACTTCTAACATTATATTGATGATTTCTGGCCTGTTTTTACAACTTAGTTTTCATAAACTGACTGAGTATACTGGGGAAGGAGCTTTATAATAACAAAATAATAGAAAGATATTCATAATAAAAATGCGAAACCCATTTCCTGCACCGTGGTCTGAGTACTGCTACAAACTGAGAGAAAGTTCTGTATATCATCTCCCGCACTTTCGCTCTGTCTCAAAAACACACACACACACACACACAAACGTATCCAGTGACCAATCCGCTGAACCACATCCAGCTAGTTTTCTTAATGATTTCAGCTGAAAAAAGGCAGCACTCCTTGTGCATCTACACGACAGCCATTTGGATGTAATTTAAATCTATTAATACCTCATTTTCATAATTGTGGGTCATCTCTGGGGCGTCTGAATACTTCTACAACAGCTGGTCTTGAGAGTGTTTTCGAGAAGGAAACTGAGAAGCCCAGGTTTCCCCTGTGCCAGAGGCTTTGCCAAAACATAACGACCGGGCTGAACTGATTACAGCGGAGGCCGTTTCTACTGACTCGCGCAGACACGGAAAGCACATGGAATCCTCACCGAGGGCAAAGGAGTGCGGAGAAAACCAGTCTGAGCAGAGTCCTTACAGTGTGCAGAGCAGAAGTCACACTATCCGAAAGCGATCGGTCCAAAAAACGTCATCTTCTTCTTGTCAAAACAAAACAAAACCGTATAAGAACAAGATAAATCTGGATTTACAGTTCCTGAAGGAAATTTCTTTGCTTAGATGGCACGACATCAAACGAATAGTGTTAAAGGGGACCTATTATACAAAATTCACTTTTGCATGGTGTTTGGAACTTTGGACATAAATGTGTGTTGGCAGTGCGTGTACACAACCACCCTATAGTGATACAAATCCACTCACTCCTTTTTTTTTTAATCCCCACAAATCATAAGCATGTCTTCCAACGACCTGTTTTCAGCCATGGGGCTGGTGTGACGTGACGTCACAACAGCCACAGGCCCCGCCCACGAATGTTGACAGACACTGCCGTTTTAACAACCGCCCTGATCGAGTTCACGGCGAGTTGCACACATCCGCCATTGCTACACTGACGAGAATGTCTTCCAAGCGTTGTAGGTGTCGTGTGGCTGAATGTATTAATCCACATAGCTCTCTCTATTTACTCCCGAAATCTGAGCCAGCCGCTGAAGACGAGGTGGATTCATTTTGTTTTCGAAGAAAATGCTCCCTCAACTCTACCGAAATTTGTTTATGTACTTACGCACTGACGCTTCATCTTTTGTGTGATGTACAATACACTTTATTAAACTCATCAGTATATTTTGGCCATCATTCGGACGGGGTCCGCTACAGCAGGCTTGTATTAATAGTGGATACAAGTAGATAACAAATACGTTATAACCGTAATTAAACTAAACTATACGTGTTCCATCTCCATACAGCATTCTCTGACTCTGTAGGCATTATTGTCCGACTAAATTTGCATTTAAAGGGCACACACTAAAACGGTGCGTTTTTCTCAGCCCCAAAAAGTGACAATTTAAAGCATGCTGTAAAAAATGATCTGTTGGGTATAGCTAAAACTTCCCATACACACTGTGGGAACATCAGATCATTATTTTACATCTTGTGAAAAGGGGCATAAAAGGTCCCCTTTAAAGCTTCAAGTAAGCATACGTTTTAAGGCTATAGTCCACACTGCCCCATTAAACACCAGAAAAGTTAACACTCTGATCCAACAAAACCAAAAACTATTAGTTTATTAGACTTTAAGCTTTGATTCTTTTTTGGTTGTGGGGAAAAAAAGCATAATCTTTGCACAGTAAAAGAAGTTATCAGTTATCAATTCCATTTAACAGTGGTTTTAAATTATTAGTACTTTTAAAGATTACTGTAAATGAGCACCCACAATTCAATCTAATATTGAGATTTTTTTTTTTATTCCGAATTAAAATGCAGTGCACCCCTATTAGATAATTAATAAATAGGCTATAACAAAGAAAAGTCCAATCTCAATTCATTATGCAAATAAGTAAAACACAGAAGACCAACAGCAATTCATGCCGAAACTTCTAGCGAAATAAATAAATTGTAACAATACAACATTTTCTGGTGAAAACATTTTGAATGAAGTCTGTATGTTACATGGTGTGAGAAGAAAAATTGCAGAGCACAAATTTGAAATATTCACCTGACCAGATTCAACAGACTAATATTTGCATTATCAGCTATTAAAAAAACACTTTTGAATAACCTGCAACCACAAACTTCAGCTCATTCGCTCTCAGGAACACATCATCCAATTACAGTACACAAGCCAGGCACAACATCTAATGACTTGGTGTGAAAACGCCAGGAGCTCTTGGCCTGGGCCTCCAAAACAGACCCTTGATTTTCTCCACTTTCCCAGAGATCCTTAACACCAGGGAGGAAACGTTGCTGTCGGGGAGCAAAAGTGGGTCTACAATTGGGGGGTGGTCTGGAAAAAGAAAACAGACACTTTCACAGCATCCTTGCAGGATGCAGCTGATTATTTTTTGTGTTCAGTCAACCATCAAATGCAACATAGGCTATCTCAGTTCGGCAGGGGGAACAAAGTGTTGTCTAAGCCACAGCTCCACGCCGCAGGACGCACTTATAAACAGGAGAGATGAAATAGTATGTCCGGGATAATCTCACAAGCTGCGGTGCTTATGCAGTAAGATCTGATGCAAGAGACAGAAAACACATGAGTCTAAGCACATTTGATAGGGCACAGAATAATAAGGAAAAAGCCATCAAGGTGATTGTCATGGCCCTGGAAATCTGGATCTGAAGTTTCTGAGGAAAGTGAAACCGTATTCCTGTTATTGTTTTACAGTTCAAATCAGTGGGTGTAAACACCTCTGTTTCTAATTTGACATTTTGACATCTACTCTAACAGCTTATTTAAGTTAACTAAGGCCTAAAATTGCCTCTGTAAATGATATAAATACCTGCAAAACATTATTCTGTTTTCTACAGAATGATTATTTTGCATATGACTTCAATTTCAGTCTGTTCCTCAGAAACACACCAAGCTATTAAATGACTTCACAAGACTTAGAATATATTATATATACGATTTTAATTAAGTAAACACTTGACGGATTCAAAGTTCATACACTGGAGGATTCATCAGACTAAAATTCAAAGGCTTCATCCGAAATCATCACATACTTCCCTACTATAGTAGAAAAACAGTGTATGACAAGAGTAATATGCCTGAATTCACACAGTACTCATGAAAGTGTATCAGCAAAATGTACCTGTATGACCTAGATGATTTCCAGCGAGATTCTGAAGTACACATACGATGGACACTTTACTATCCCATGAGGCCACAGGATGTGTATGTCCGGATTATTACATTCAAACTATTTAGAACTTAGGCCTACTTTTTTTTTAGAAGTAATTACTTATTCAAAACAAGTAATTTCTCAGTATGCAATTTTGGACACAGCCAAGCTGTCTCAAGTTTGTAAGTCTTTTGGTGTGATTCATTAAATTAACTTGTTCGTAAAAGTAATTTGTGTGCGAATCAAACTACACTGGATTTTGAGTGAATCTAGCAACAACAAAAAAAGAAAGGGATTCAGTGGCGGAAATACTTGTAGGTCTACAATCAGAGAACCAAGACAAACGGCTTCATCAGAAAGCCAAAAACACAATCATAGCTTGACCAACAATTACAAGTAGATGTACAAGGCAAATGGGAAGGGGCTTATTAGGTATTTTGTCATTAAAAGCACAGGAAACCAGATCAAACCGGTACATATTCATAGGATGGTAAAAAAAAGGAGCCTTTCTTTCATTTTTTCCTGAATTTTCCTTTTAGTTTAATGGCTGGATTAGACCCCTGTAAAGCAGAGCACCTTTCAGGCGGCTTTAACATCCCCACCTCCAGTCTCCATAAAGTGAGACCAGCTGCAATGGACCTTTAATTAGGACCCTGTTAGTGCACGGACATCCTACACACACACACACACACACACACACACACACACACACACACACACACAGTACAATCAACCATGTACAGTGCCTCTCAACTTAAAAACAACGGATAAGCAATTCCGCTATTCCCACGAAAAACACTAGGCAAACTTGCCGAGAGGCAAACCTCAATCAACCTAAACCACCAGACTCCCCTTTTGAAAATAGAAGTTCCTTTTAATCATCATGCGCTATGAAGTGGTCAGTATCAAGCAATCAAAGAGGCGGCATGCGGCATTGCTATACATCTATTGCATGTAACAACATTTACAGTGGCCACTTCACGTGATGACGCATAAAAACAAACAGGTTTCATCAGTGCTGTTCGGATATAAAAGGTTAAACAAATGTAAACATCTGGGGCCAAGTTCATTAAAATAAAACCAGCTTCAAAAGTCACAACATGGTGGTTTGGTTTTAATGGCTTGTCTGCCCATTTGTGGTTTCCTGATTCTAGAATTAGATCTTTCGCTAAGTGACAAGAAATGTACACTGGTGGCAAACAAGTCATTACTGTCGGAGCCATGGTCTTGCAGTTATTGCACATGCTCTGCCTCTGACATATGGAGCTCATGGAGACAATGTGAGAATTAATATGGCTGGCATCATTTACCAGTCCCACTCCACATAATAATAATAATAAATATAACAATAAAAACTAGCAAAAATATTAGTAGTAGTAGTACATAAAAACCAAACAAAAATCATTAAAAACTAAAAACCAAACAAAAATCATTAAAAACTAAAAACCAAACAAAAATCATTAAAAATTAAGGGATAAATAACGTATTATCTGTATGTGGCTGGATGGAAGAGAGCAGTGCTTCCTGATAATAATGCAAATGAGCAATAAAATGAATCAGGACTACTGTTGCATTAAACATTTAAAATTCACCTCCATATGAAAAGCACTACTTTGGAAAACGCTACTTTATGATCTTTGCCATAATGAGGTCTGCAAAAAGACAACATGAAAGGAGCACACAAAGCCACATGTATCCTGCTCATTTACATCAGCAGTATTCCTTTAATTAAACAGACTCACCCACCCATGCTATAAGCTATTTATAAAGTGTTTGTTACAAATCAATACGGGGTTTACCCACTGATGTCTAGTAAAGTATACTGGCAGATCTGAGAGAGAAAACCTAATAAATTTGCAACCTCGCATTACTGCATTATAACGCTCACTTACATCACATCTGACGATCTTGCTCTTTTAACGTAACGTAACAGAACTTAACTCAAAAGAAAAAGAATTTTTTTTTTTTACGTGTAAACGTTAATTGTAATATGCACTGCTCAAAAGATGTTTTTATTCCTTTAAAGTACGAAATTACCTGCTTAATGACAACCTATCTGTTTCTTAAAACCTACGGAGCTCCCTAAGACATCATTTCTGGGCTAAATTAGGGCGTTTGAAACGTTCCGAGCTTCCTAAAGTGCTGCCTACGTAGGCAGCTTACTAGATTTTGAAACACGGACCAAGACAACATGAACTCATGAAATCAATAAAATATGACGTATCCTACATACGAAACAGGCAATATTCAGACTACACAACAACTGCAAACCAGTACACGTCATTTGGCATTTAAATTACTCATTTGATTAATCTGAAAGTATATTTTCAAGTGAATGTGACGCGCATTTGTACGGAGGAAACTGGTGAGTTTCGTTTTCATCAACTCACCATCAAGTCCGTGTTTTTTCCTATCCGTATATTAGCATTCTTCTTCATATGGAGCTTCAGCGCTGCCCTCGGTGCTTTCTTTGACATGTTTTGACTGCTTGAAGGCGTTAATTTACGGATTTGAAGATCGAAAATAAAGCTCGCGTCTGTTTGTGTTCCGTTGTATTCAAAATACCGCGGGTTTCACTACCGGCTCCTGATGATGACGTGGAAAGAGCTCAATGGTCCCTCTCGCCAACACGTGCTTTGTGCGTGTTTACATGAACCAGAGAGAGGAATTGTATCGTGATTCGTGTATATATAAAAGTCAGACACTTTGTATTTTATTCATCTGATTCTGCTTTTTGCCTAATGATTTTACACAAGTGTAGAGTCAGTTTAAAGTCAGTCTTGTTTTGTAAAAGTAACCTTTTTGTTAAGGAGATCATTTTTTAAATTTCCTCAGTAGGTAAGTTATATAAAATACAATACAATACAGGAGAATAAAACAAATATTTAACAAGACATAAAAAAGCGTTTGTAGATCAGACTTTTATTTCCTTTCTTTTTTAGGTGTAGGCTACTTTTTTTGGTCCCCTGAGCTCAAAGAATGTAAAACAGCTGCAAAGCATTTGTTGAATTTAAAATAAATTAATATATAAGATGGAGCTGAACCTTTGCCAGAACTTTGAGTTCATTTTAATGGCAATTTTTTATGGTTTCTATTAATTGCTCTGGGCTTTGGCATTTGGCTGAGTTGAAAATGAAAGAGAATAGCCCCAGGCTTTATTCATCTTATTCACTAATAAAATGTATCAGCTCGACCCACTCATTTTTTCCCCCATTCTCACTACAGGTTTGTAATACAAATGTGACACCACAGCCATTGCTCCCCTTTAATGGAGCAAAAACGTATTTTTAAAACATATCTGCATTTCTGATTCATTTATCTATGCTTAAGATCTTTCTTAACTGATAAATTGAGATACAAAACAACTGAGCTGTTAAGAAACAATGTGGTTTCTGTAATTGAAAACTTATTTTTAAGTGTTTATTGCATGTATATATTTTTTATTTTAAACCTCAGAATGCCACTAAAACAACATAATTTGTAAGCGTGGGAGTTTTCTACAGAAAAACAAGGAGTGGAGCAACACTTATGGAGCAAGGACTGATAAGTTCTTGTTCTGGTATTTCATGTGGGTTTCATTTACAGATTGCATGAATCTTTTGGATCGAGACATTTTCATACAATCAGATATTTTCAGCTGGAGGGTTCTTGTAATTACATGGATAAGTGCACAAGTAATTTCACCCAGAACTAAATGAAAATATCTTAACTTAATACTTGCCATATTTTGATACTAGAATAAAAAAATATATATATTGTTCCCAAGTACTTAAAACACATTGAGAATGAGAAGTATATACATTCAATTATTGGCATTGGTTCACAATGCCTAAATAGAGACACATCGTCAACCTCAAAACTATTTTTCAAAAGGAGGAAAATATATACACCCAGGGTTTGATAACACCCGCCAACCGTGGGTGGGTGCAGCAGTGGCATGTAATGCAGGCACTCCTTCAGCCACTTAGTTGAAATTGATTTGTAACATACATTTTTCAATTGTAGTCTTTTAAAAAGGCATCTGAAACAATATACTAAGTGCAATGTAGTGTTGTAAAATTTAGATTTTTCGAAACATTTTGACACTGAAATATCTGAAACGCTTCCAATACTCATTTTCCACAGAATATACACAATACCAGCTGCGGTTTCTCGCTCTCTCATCTCTCCGACAGCGAGTTGACACACAAGCCGCCTCCCCTCACTCACTCAAACGTGGTGGTGTTACAGGGCTAAAATTCAAAGCGCGTGCACAAAGCCGCCTCTCAGTTCTAAACTGAGTTCTTTTTCACTGCTTATTGCATTGAAACAGTCAAACACACACGAATGTCAAATGTCAAAATGACGGTCTTCACGGACAGTATTCACTTAAATACAGTCAGTTATGTTTTAAATGAACGTAAACAGTTGAGAAAGAAAACGTGTAAAATAATGGATCCGTGCGTCAGGTCTTAAAGTGACAGCGGCCTGATATATCTGCTGCCAAATTATGAGATAACATTAAAAATATCTAAATGGCAGTTTCCCGCCATGGTATCGGTCAAAATTGTTGGCTTGTAACTTTGGAAAACCACTAGCCACAGTGGCTGGTGAGCAAAAAAATGTAAGCCCTGTCTAAAACACTATACATATAAACATAACAGATCCATTTTGGTATATTTCTACTTTTTTATTTCTATTACAAATAATTATGCACCATGAACAATGCTCTTTAGACATAGCATCTAATCAGCTTTTTCCACTTCCTGTTTTGATGGAATGTGCTGGCAGTCTCCGCCAAAGCTTCATGCATCATTTACTCGAGACCACTGCCGTGGCAACTCTTGGAAATAAAGCTTTATCTCACTCATCTTCACACACAGCTACTAACACCACCATTTCCATATTTTATTCTACCAGGCCCAGCCATCCCATTTCCTACATTCATCTTGTGGAGCCGAGTCTCATTCACAGAAAGCAGCAGTTACGGAGGTGATGAGCTTTCATTCAGTTTCCTCCTCCACACTGCAGCCTTTGTTAGGTGAGAGTATGGACCGCAGACACATGTTTCAAAGGCTGACAGACATAATGCTTACACAAACGCAGACTGTCACTGGTGAAATACTTCAGTTTTAGATGTGTGCTGTAATCACTCCCAACCACTTAAGGAGCCACAGATTTATAATATTATGTGGATTATTATGTGGATATCACCATTTTGGTAAATCAAGCAAAGTGGACAGATAGATCAAGGGGTCTAAGAAGGGACAAGTGAATTACCTTGTCCAAACATTGTCCCAATGTACATCTAATTTATCAGCTCTTCAGTCAGTGATAGGAACCCATTGAAATGCTACCTAAGAAGGTTCATTTGTGTTGCGCTCTGTTCGGTATTAATATAAAGCACACAGCAGGTCAAAAGAAGAAGTAATGGGGGCCATGAAATTGTTTTATCATAGCTGATAAATGTAGCAACCAGGCGCAAAAAAAAAAAAATGAATCCAATGTTTGAAGTTTTGCCACAATGCGTAATTTAAACCAGAGTAAATGGATTATAAATCTTCAGACAGCCTTTAAGTACTTTGTTGCGAGACTTTGATAAAGAACAAGCTTTTTAAAACAGGTGTTCTACAGATATCACCTTAAGATAACATATCTGCACAGATACTATTCTGAACATGCATTTAAACACTATAAAATTAAAGCTTTTTTACTGAAATGGATGTTAGAGCACAGATCCAAACAATTGTGCATCAAAGTTTAGGCTTCAACATTGTAGATAAGGGACCAATCAGATATGGACCTCCAGCATTGATTTGCAACTTAAAACAGGTGCTTAAATGCTGCAGTACGTCACACACATTCGCAGGCGAAACGTGTTAAGGGTTTTCTCAGCTCCAGCTGAATGTCAGAACACTTTGGTAAATATGCTCCACATACGGATTTGTGAACAGGTGCAAAATAAGGATTTCAATATGTTATCATTGTGCCCTGTACTTATTTAACATTTAATTGTATATATCAATAATTAAATATTTTATTGAAATGCGTACTCTTCGTTTTTTTGGTAAACACTGTTATCCAAAACAACTTACAACACATTCAAGCTATACATTTCATTAGTATGCACATTGCTCGGAAACAAAGAAACACACAGAGCCATTATGACCTCATTTAAACATCTAATATCTTAAACACTTTAAAATAGTTCTATTTAAAACATGTGTCTTGTCCTAAGAGATGAAAGGAACTCTTCCTCATGGAAGATGAAGGGATTAATAACCTTGACAACATGTTATGGGCAACTGAAACTCATTTCATATGATTAAAGCAAATCACATGTTGGCATGTTTAACTGTGGCACTGGTGGAGATAACTCTGAAGATGCTACCATGGAAAATATTAGTATTGGCTAATACATTTCCAGCAGCATCATGGGAGTCTTTGATTCCTGGCTGTATTAGATCATGGGTGTATGTTTCTTGGACAGAAACTGCGTTTATGGCATTTTCTCCACAGGAGGTCTGTAAAGGTATTTTCAGAAGGTTTTTTTTTTTTTTTTTTTTTTTTTTTTTTTGCAAGTATGATCAGTCAGTCATGGATCCCTGAACTCTGGAATTCTGGAAGTAAAACTTCAAAGGGACGACTCTTGATATAAACTCGTATTCCGGGTAAAAGAGAAGGGCAGATATATTTCCATAAGAATAATTTCATCTGCTTGGAAAATATGTTCTGCAACTCACATCATAAAAGATCTAAAGACTATTTTGTATTGTACTTTTATTTAGCAAGGACACATTGTTTTCAACAGCAACTTTCCACGTTGATAATTATAAGAAATGTTTCTTGAGCAGCAAACTAGCATATTAGAATGATTCTGAAGGATCATGTGACACTGAAGACTGGAGTAATGATGCTGAAAATTCAGCTTTGCCATCACAGGAATACATTTAATTTGGAAATATATTAAATGATATTTCACAAATTACTGTTTTTTACTGTATTTTGGATCAAATAAATGTGGCCTTGGTGAACAGACTAAAAATGAGGGGGGAAAAAACTAAGAAAATCATCCTTTTCATACACTTGCTCTGTAATGAGATGAATAACTTATTATACAGCTTCCAGGGATACTTCATTCTGATTGCTCAATCCCTTCATTCTACTACTGGAAAGGCACTCACATGTTAGCGTGCTCTCCATGTGGACAATATCTCTTCTGTTCTGAGACCAGTGGTGTTGATTCAGCATGAATCTCATCCCTGGAGAAGAAAAAAGGTTAGAGGGAGTTTCATAACTCAACATTTTTCTCACTGGCTTCCTGTCTTTGTTTAAATTATGAACCTGCACGTGAAATATTTCTATATGTCAGCATTATGCATCTGATAGTAATGCTCTGGGTGTGTGTGTGTTTTCAACAGTTTTTCTGAAAGCAACAGAATGGGAATGAAAACAGCATCAACGTTTCATGGGCATTTTCAGCCAATCACCAGACTGATCACTCTGGAACTGCTGCATGATGTCATGACAATACTGATTGGCTGCTTTGATACTTCCTGCCTGGTCTATGTCTGTCTCCTACTTCTCCGTTATGCCATTAAAATAACTAAATGATCA